GGGGGGGGGGGGGGCTGGCCATGGGCGAGCGGAAGGGCCCCCCTCCCCCGCAATGTCTGAACAGAGGCAGCCCGGTCGGGGGGGGGGGGGAGCATGGGAAGCGCAGGGGACTCTCCCTAGTTTTCTGGAGGATGAACCGAGAGGAGGGGAGAAACGCATCACTTCAACCGGGTCGGCTTCCCAGTTGGGCTGCCTGGCAAGGCTAGCCGTTGCTTTCTGGCTGCTGGTCCTTCGCGCAGCCCCATGTGGCTGCCAAGAGCTCCAGCCAGGCTGGGCCTGAATCGGCAGACGTCACAAAGCCCTCCTCGGACGTCCCTCCTCGGTGGGCACGCTGGGGGGGGGTCCAGGCGTCTGGCTACCTGGTGGGCACCAGTTGCAGAAGGGAACTGACCCCCACCCTTGGGCCCAGAAGCCCGTCAGGCGGCCACCATGCCCTGGGGCTCCCCTTCATGTCTGAAAGAGAGCAAGGTGGGTGGGGGCTCCCCCCAGGGTCCCCCTCGCCCAGGTAGCCCTGTGCTGCCTGCTGGGGACCAGATGCCCCCCCTCCCATCCCCCCCCCACCCTCAGCAGAGGCTGTTTTGCAAGGCAGATGGAGGGGGGCTTGTTGCTGTTGTGGTGCTCCTTCCAGCCGCGTTGCCATGACAGGCGGTGTGTGTGTGTGTGTGTGTGTGTGTGTGTGTATGCTGGGAGGCAACGCTGGGCTGCTCCCTGGGGGATCCGGATGCTGCCGGGGGTGGGAGAGTTTGGGGGGGGGGCACCTCAGCCGGTGGGTCAGAGGGGCCTGTTTGCCCCCTGAAAAGCAGAAGAAGAAAAACAACAACAACAGGGAGAAGGAGAAGGCGCAGACTCTGCGTCAGGCCCCTATTTATAGCTGCTGGGAGGAAGCCAGGAGGAAGAGAGAGGTTTGCACTAGGAGCAGCAGTGCCTCAGCCACGTCTTTTGCACAACAGGGGGGGGGGGGGAACTGTGCACGCCTCTTGCGTCCTGGCAGCCAGTTTGGGCCTGTTAAAACTGGAATCCCTTGAAGCAGAGGAATTGCCCCCCCCCCCCCCCCGCTGCTTTCCCGGAAGGAGGAGAGGGCTGGGGAGGGCCTGCCCACGGGGTCCCCCTGCTCCTGTGCCTGGCTCCCCCGGGGCCTCCTGGGGCCTCTGGACTCAGGGCCTAGTGTGACCTGCCCCTCCACAGCCCCAGCCCTGCCTCTCCTTCTCCAGACAGCTGGCTTGGGTTGCCCTCAGCCAGGTGGGGGGGGGGGAGGGGCAATGCCCTCTTGCTGGAACCACTGGGTTGCGCAGCAGAGCCCAAAGAGGTTGGGTCTGGGGCCGGGGCCCCGTGCTCGGCCTCCTGCAAGGGGGGCTCTGGTTGTGGGGGTTTCTCATCCCCAACGGGGCTGCCCGTTTGCCTTCCAGTGGGGCTTTATGGCTCCATCTTTGGAGTCTTGCAGCTGCTCTGCCTCCTGACGGCGCCGGTGATTGGCTACATCATGGACTGGAAGCTGAAGGAGTGTGACGACAGCCCTGAGGAGTTGGACAAGGGAGACGCCAGCCCCCCGTACGTGGCCAGTGGGCGGGGGCAGCTGCGGGGTCCCTCCCTGCCAGCTGCATGCCCAGCCCGCATTCCTTCCCCCTCTGAAGCGTAGGAAAGGGGTGCCATTTGCCACACGCCCTTGGCAGCTCATGCCATGGGCCCTGCCCGGGCGCGGAGGCCGAGAGGCAATTGGGTCACTGGGCCAGGAACCGCAGTCTCATCATTGGGAGGCCTTGTTTGTCATGGGAGGCCGAGGCTGCCTGGGCAAGTAGGGCAAGGGTCACCGGGCACTGGCTGGCACCGGGCAGGGAAGGGGGCTCAAGGGGAGGCAGCCCGGGTGATCTTTCCTCCCGCCTGCAGGGGTGAGAAGAAGGAGAAGAGGCCTCGGGACCGCCAGATCCAGAAGATCTGCAACGCCACCAGGGCTTTCGCTTTCACCAATGTGCTGCTGGTGGGCTTTGGAGTCACCTGCCTGATCCCCAGCCTGCCTTTGCAGGTGAAGGAGGGGGGGGTGTGGGCCTTTGGGGGAAAGGCTGGCCGGCCTGCCCTGTGCTGGGGACCCTCCCCTCTGCCTCCATGGTGTGTGGGGGGGATTGTCCGGGCTCCACTCGGGGAGGGAGGAGGGCAGGGGTCCTGCGGGGGCTCTGAAGTGGGCGGTCTCCCCACTCTCCCTTCCAGATCCTTTCCTTCATCCTGCACACCATCGTCAGAGGCTTCATCCACTCGGCGGTCGGAGGTCTCTATGCTGCTGTGTAAGTCCAGCACCCATCGCAAAGTGGGTCACCCCCGTTTCTGGGTCATGGTTTCCTCCTCCCCGGGTTCCCTGTGGTTGTGTGGCTTTGCCTCCGGATATTGGCCAGCTCCTCTGGGTGTTGCTCCAGAGCGGGTGGCGCCCGCCCCCACCTGCCTCCCGAGTATCTGATGGAGGCCGAGGTCATCCCGGGCCACGCCGCATTCCTTGGGGAGCAAAACAACGTCCTCCTTGCTGGCTGGTCCTCTCAGTGCCCCAAGGAAGGCAGCTGGGAGACACCGGAGGGGCCCGCCTGCCCTGGAGAGCTGGGCCCAGCAGATGGATCCATCCATCTCTCCCCCCCACCCTCTCTCTCACACACACACACATGCAGGGCCTGGATCCAGTTACGGCTTGCCAGGGCTGACTCATATGTTTTTGCCCTGCTCAGACGCATGTTGTTTTGAACGGGACGTTTCGGGCCATGGGTCACGGAGGACGTTGGGTGCAACTCTGAGGGTTGCTCAACCGGGAGATCTGCCTCCCAGGCTCCTGCTCTGCGCTGCCCCTCAGCACTTTTGCCATCAGGGGTTTGTTCCTCCGGGCAGGGCAGCCCTGAGAAGACTTGAACCGAGCCAGGAGGGGCCCTGAGCCCAGCCACTTCCTCCTCTGCAGAGAGACCCCATCCTCCACTGTTGCTGTTCCTGACCTCGCCCTACCCACCCCCGGGACCCGGCCAGAAGGCAGCTCAATAGCTGCAGACCTGTGGGTCACTTGCCCCCTTCCCCCCACCAGGTATCCCTCCACGCAGTTTGGCAGCTTGACTGGGCTGCAATCTCTCGTCAGCGCCCTCTTTGCCCTCCTGCAGCAGCCCCTTTTCCTGGCCATGATGGGCCCCCTGGAAGGAGACCCCCTCTGGGTAAGTGGACCCGCCTTGGCTGGGGGCGCTGGCTGTTCAAGGACAGCCCGTGAGAAGGGAAGAGGGTGGGGAACAAGTCATGCCCTTCCACGGCCAGTTCTGGCTCCTGGGGCTCAGAGGGGGAGGCCTGCCTGGGCCACTGCTCCATCTGCCATGGAGGACTGCAGAGGCCCAGAAGGTGAGCAGAGGCAGGTGGGCCCAGTCTGGGGGCTTGGGCCCTGTCCCCCAAGGGGCACATTCCCGAGGGAGGTGCTTTGGGCCAAAAAAAGGGAACACCCCTTGAGGGTCCCACCTGTTGCCTGGCAGTGCCGGGGAGGGAAGCCCGCCAGCAGCGCCCCCTGCCCCACACCTGGAGCCTTTTGGCCTGGCAGTGGAAGCCAGCCCCCCCACCCCGGGAGGCTGCATGGTCACGGTCTGGGTGTCAGAGGCCTCCTGGATCGGCTCCCAGGGACCACGTGGGCTTTGTTTGTGCAGCGAGGAGGGCTGGCTGGGAGCCGTCTGTCTCGGCCACGTGAGGAAGGGAAGGGAAGGCCAGTTCCAGGCGCCTGGAGAACTGCTGTCTGGCCTCCAGGAGGGCAAAACATCTCAGGGCCCTTCGGTGCAGCAGCGCTGGCCTGATGGCGGCTGTAGCCCGCTCGTCCTCTCCCCCCGGCAAGGCCTGCACACTGAGAGTGGGGAGGTAGGGAGCTCAGGGGGGGCAACACAAATGTGCCCCTCCCCTCTTCGGGCAGGGGTCCAGGAAAGGCGGGGGGAGCTCTGAAGCAGCCGGCCTCCTGCACTCGCAGGCCTCCCTCAGAGTCAAGGGGCGAAGGGTCCAAGGGTTCCTGTCCTTGGCAAGGGCTGGACTAGAAGACCTCCGTGGTCCCTTCCAGCCAGTGCCAGATGGACGAGGGCTTCCTCTTCTCATGCCACAGTCTCCCCCTCGGGTAGCGAAGAGCTGTTGAAACCGAGCAACCGGCTGCCCCCCCGGGAGAGGGTTGTGCCTGGCCTGGGCACCGCAGGTGGCAGGCTTGGCACTCTGGGTTGGCAGGCAGTCGGGGCTCCAGGGCTGCTTGGCACCTGGGAGCCTCGGGGCCAGGGGAGGAAAGGGAAGGGCAAGGAGGAGGCAGCTGCGGACTGAGCCGTCCCTCCAGGCCCCCCTGTGGAGAGCCATCTCTCGCCAGCAGCTTTGGCCCTCACCGCCTTCGCCCTCTCTCCTGCCAGGTCAACGTGGGGCTGCTGGGGGTGAGCATGCTGGGCTTCTGCCTGCCTGTCTACCTCATCTGCTACAGGCGGCGCCTGGAACGGGCGAAGCAGCAGAAACACGACGATGCCCAGCTCTTCCTCAAGATCAACGGCACACCCAGCGAGGAGGCCTTTGTTTAGAGACGCATTTGGACTGGCTGGGGGAGGGTCGTCGTCCCCCCCCCGAGGCCCCAGAGAAGCCCCACCCAGCACAGCTCCCATCTCACGGGCCTTGCTTTGGAGTGAAAAGCCACGCCACCATGCCATTTCCGTGGCACCACCCTGGTGTGGCCTCCCCTGCCCAGAGTCTCTGGTGCTGGCCTCAGAGACGCCTAACTCGATAAGGTCTTGGTTGCTTTGCAAAGGGAATGCCCCCCACCCACCCACCCCCGCTCTTCTGGTGATCTAGCCCTTCCTGGCACACGCCTACGCAACGCACGTACAAACACACGCAGGCAACGGCTTGGTTTGTGTCTGTGCAGGACACAGACCCCGGCCTCCTCCCTCCCCATCTGCCTGCTCTCCCGTCCTGGGTGAGCACTCCCCTGGTCACCTTGCAGGGCCCTGCTGGTCCCTCCGGCCTCTGCAGCCGCTGGCCGAGGAGAGAATCCAGTCTGCCTGCATCTTGCACCTGTCCTGGTGGGAGGGGGATGTGGCCCCACCTTCTCCGCAGGCTGAGGACCAGCTTGGCGAAAGCTGGGGGTTGCACAGTGTCTTGTCCCTCCAACCTTTGGGGCATTGCCAAAGAGGGACAGCTTTGCACAGGGTCACCCAGGGATCTTAAATTGACCCCAAAGCATTAAAGGACCTGACAGACCGAGGCAAGGAGGCACCCCAAATCATGACCTGGGCTGGGGGGGCACTGGCTCCTGCCCTGCCATCCCCTGCCTGTGTCTGGCTCTGCCAAGGGCAGGTTTAGCTTCCTGGCGCCTGGCACAGTAACTGGCGCCCCCTGGTGGCAGGAATTCTCCTGGGCAGGGCACTGGTTCCCTTGCAGCAGCGGGGGGGGGGGGGGGGGGACAAGATGCCACAGGTGGATTGCACTGTCTTCTCTCTTTTAACATCAAAAAAACCCCAAAAAAACCAAACACCACTCTACATGGCTTCCGTGTTTTTTACTCTGAGCAGCCAGAAGGCTAACCTGGTAGAAAATCCGGTCAAGGAAGGCGCTCCCCTCGGAGGTCGGTACGTGGCCTTGGACGGAAGTGGTGCAGCAGAGGCCGGAGTGGCTCTCGGGTGGGCATGGAGCTCAGATTGGTGGGCCACTTCTTCCTGGGGTCCCTTCCATGGCTGCCTTCTGGGTGCCAGCTGAGGCCTGGGGCTTCTCTGCCCTGTTTCCCTCCCAAAAAGGTAGGGGAAAAAGCAGCCGGCGGCTCCCAGAATGGGGCATCTTCCCTCTTGGCTCAACTGTAGTCTTGCGCATGCAGAGGAAAGCGGATCGGACTTGACCAACACTGTGCCAGGGTTGGCAGTTCCCAGATCAACTGCCAGCTCAAGCCGTGGCACAGCTCGTTCTTCACAGAGGGCCTGTGGAAGAAAGCAATGATCCCACTCTGTGCTCGCATCTCCCACAAATGCTGAGCCACGGACAAGCTGGTGCCCTTGAAGCGTGTACCAAGTGCCAGTGAGGCAGCAAACCCTGGTTTGGTCAGGAGGGGGGCTGAAGCCATGGAATCCATAGCCAGGCAGAGGAAAAGGAGGCCACGGGGAAGCGGACGGCCAGCCACATCGGCGTTTCGCTCTAATAGGGACACACTGAGGGACCAACAAGGCCAGAGGGTGCAGCATTTCATCTGGCACTGCCTCCATATTTGGCTGATGCTTCTCCCCGCGCCTCCAGCCAAGGAGGCTTTGGCTGACCCGTTGCTGCAGCCATCACAGTTATGCCTGATGCAGATGGTTGGAAGGAGCGACCAATGGGAATGCTGCCCCTTGCGATCCCGGCTCTTGGTAGACCCAAAGAGGCTGCTGGCCAACTGCATCGGAGATGACCCGTGGCAATCCAGATGCCAAAGGCGCTAAAACAAAGAGGAAGCCTCAGGGCCCAATAGCTAGACCCCCCTCTGCAGTGCCTGCACGGCACCTGCACGGTGGGGGAAAAGAGGACCGGAAGAAGGTTCAGGCAGCCCTCGGCACCTGCTCTGTGCCCACCCGGTCCCTGCTGCGGCTCTCGTCTGCCTTAACCCCTTCGCAGTCTGGGGTTAGATGCCTCCCTGTGCTCTGCCAGCTTGCTTAGTAGAAGGAGGGGGCAGCGAGTGGGTCTGGGCTGTTGCTCTGGGGCAGCTTCTGTACGCAGCCCCCAGGAGAAGCAGGCAAGAGGCAGCCCTGAAGCCCAAGCCGAGGCTCAGCTGAGGAATCCCCCTAGCTCCATTGTCCAGGGGGCTCTGCAGGCTTTCTTGAGGAGGGGAGAAAGCAGCCCCCGCCTAGTGGTCACGCAGGGCCCAATCCTCCCAGTCAAAGGGTCAGCGTGCATCCTGCCCAATGAAGCTGCCCCGTGGGTCTGCCCACTGTTGCTGAAGTGGGTGGAAGCTGGGCGAAGGAGCTTTCCCTGACTGATAGATAGAATTCTTTATTGGCCAAGTGTGATTGGACACCCAAGGAATTTGTCTTTGGTGCAAAGGCTCTCAGTGTATATAAAAGAAAAGATACTTTCGTCAAGAGTCAAGATCACCAGGTTCAACACTTAATGATAGTCATAGGGTACAAAAAGCAATCAAATCATACTAGGAAACAGTCCATATAAATCGTAAGGATGCAAGCGACAATGTTACAGTCATTCAGTCACAAGTGGGAGGGGATGGGTGATAAGGAGGGATGAGAAGGTTAATTAATGACTGCCCCTCCGCCTGAGCCACCCTTGTGGAGGGCTGGATTGGTCCAGCTGGTTTCTTCTCACCTCTGGTCACTTGGACCTGGAGCTTCAGCCTCCTGGCAGGCGGTCCTCCCTCCCCCCAATGCACAAGGCCTTCTCTTCTGGGAGACCCTCACATCCTGCCTTCTAAAGAGCTTTTTCCATGGAGATCCCTACAGTCTTAGAGTGGAAGCCACGCAGGGCCCAGCCATGGTCTCTCGTGCTGCAGGGGAAAGGGAAGAGTAGCTTCCACAGTGCCCCCACCCTTCAGCCTTGCCCTATGCAGAGTTGCTTTCCCAACCCTGCCTGCTAAGGTCCCGCCAGGGCGTCTTTGAGTATGGGGACTTCTTTGGTGGGCTTATGGGCTGGCAGCAGCCACAGTGCCCCTTGGTATTTCCTCACGCAGCCGCCACTGCGTAGGTTGGGAGAAAGGGACTGTCCCAGAGATCCTGGGGGCCTCCCGGGAACTTCATAAGAGATCTATATGGTCCCAGGGCACCACCCAAACCACTGCACCACGCTGCTCTGAGTCAACCTTTGGTCTGCAAGGACCGGACGTGGGCCAGCAGGTCTCTCCCCCATCTGCCAAAGTGAAATCCCTCCCTTTGAAATGGAGCAGGCGGTTCAACCTCAGCAGGCAAGCTCAGGAGATGCTATGGGACCCCAGCACAGCAAGCTACAGACGCTACAAGAATAACCCTTGGAAGGGACTTGGAGGCCTTCTAGTCCAGCCCTCTGCTTAAGCAGGAGACCCCCCCTATTCCATTCTGGACAAAAGACAGCCCCGTTTCTCCTTAAAAGCCTCCAATGTTGGAGCCCCCACAACTTCTGAAGGGAAGCCAGTCCACTGATTAATTGTTCTCACGGCCAGGACACCTTCTTCTCCGTTCTGGGACACAGGCAATCCCTGCACTCTTCCTAGAGCCTCAACATCCTTTTTGTATCATGGTAACTAGAAAGAGACTCCTCATTCCAAGTGTGGTGTTATTAGCGCAAGCGGCATCAACACTTCCCATAATCTTGATGCTGTACCTCTGTTGCTGCAGCCTAGGACTGCATTAGCTTTTGGGGGGGCTGCAGCACAGTGCTGGCTCAGGTGGTGGTCCATCAGGACTCCTAGCGCCCTCATGCAGTTACTGCTGTTGGGTGCTCCATCACTGGAGGCTTTTAAGAGGACATCAGACAGCCATAGGGTATAGAGTAGGGGTGTCAGACTCAAGGCCCATGGCTGGATCTGGCTGGCGGGGTGCTTAGATCAGGCCCACGGGGCCAGCCTGGAAATAGCAAAGGACCGGCCTGCAGTGCTTCTGCTATAAAAAATGGGGCACATGGCCTCCCGCAACCAGCTTTGGCTGCTAAAGTGCCGCAGGAGGCCGTCCAGGCACAAACGGGGCCTCCAGAGTGCTCCAGGAGGCCGTCCTTCACTCAGAAGGTTATAAAAGAGAGGAAAAGTAAAATATTTTACCTTTCAGGCTTGCAGGATTCTGCTACTATAGCCTGTGTCAACAATTTATAGTTCTAGTCTTCTTATGGAATCAGTTTCTTGATCTGGTCTCTCTCATAAGGTGATCAAGTAGATCGAGAAAGTATTTAAAAAAAACAATCACGGAAATGTACATCTCTTTATAAGTGTGTAAAACTGTGTGTTTGGAGGTGCGGTCCCGAATCACACCCACCATGACCACCCCCCACCCAGCCACCACCACCCCGCCCTCTGAGGTCAAAGACAACCTTGACGCGGCCCCCAGTGAAATTGGGTTTTGACACCCAATTAGACTACAGAGTGTTTCCTGCTTGAGGTTGGCCTAGAAGACCTCCAGGGTCCCTTCTCACTCTGTTATTCCGCATTCTGCATCCTCTCCGTGCTGAAGCCCCTCTGGACGCCCATCGTTTTGAACGTCAGCACCGCTGGGGACCTCGAGGGAAATCTCCTGCGGCCAGAACTCTGCATTCCCGTTACTGCAGCTCAAGGTAACTTTAGCCGTGGTGGCAAAGCTGGCTCCTATTTGCCTTGTGGCCAATAAGGACCCCAAAATCCCTCCCGCGATGACAGTCTTGCAAAACACCCGGCTCCGCAGGGAGTCTTGCAGGTCTGCCC